CTCGTTGGACCCTGGTGAAGTTAACGAGCCTCAACCCAGGTAGTTATGTTTCCTCATGGAGACTAAATGTTTCGATTGTTGTGCCGAATATATCTTATTCCCCACCCTGGCATTAAAGTCACCAAGCACGTTTTTAACATCGCGCCGAGGCGTCAAATTTGCGCTCCTTTCGTCCCGTCCCCGTCCATGGCACTTCTTGAAAGGCAATGCTGTCAGTTTTTAGTCGCAAGACGACAATAATCAGCTGAGCAGCATCGCCTTTCAGGTAAGATATCGGACAATCCAATTACATGACTTAAAAACGAAAGTCTTAAAACGTTACAGAGACCGTGAACAGAAGAACGGTCTCTGATTCTTGCGTGACTTTTTGCTTCATTTTTCATTTGAGCCAGTTTCTTATGTGATGGCTCCCAAGCTCGCCGCATAAGCATAATGGCATCGACAGTTCATAGTTGATAGTTGAACCTGGTCATTTGACGTGGCCTCATGTACAATTAAGATAGACTTTTATCTAAGTAGAAGAAAAAATATCTTCACCTGAAATATTCTCAAGTTTCAAAACCATTTCTAACGATAAAATTCCTCTAAATTTAAAATTTCTAATTATTATTACTTTTTTGAGTTTTTAGAAAATTAATTTTTTTGCTCTGGGAGCCTTAATTGCTGAAATTTACTCAATTAACTGCCTGTGTGAACACTTTTGATTGCTGAAACTCATTTAATTGACTAATTAACTATCTATGTGAATGAGCTTAATTGTCGAAATTTACTTAGTCACCTAATTAACTGTCTATGTGAACGGCCTTACTCACTGAATTCGACTCAATTAACTAATTAACTGTCTGTGTGAACAAGCTTAAATACTGAAATTCATTTAGTTTGCTATTTAGCTGACTTTTAGAATGTCGCACTTGCTGAAATTCATTAAATTTTTGTTTTGCATTTTGGTTTTTTGCATTGTGAATCATGCATTATCTCCACACAAAGGACACTGTACACTACTTAATGTTTGGCTCCACCCGAAACTCAGTGCCACCTCACTTTTAGTTGTGTTGTTTTAGTATTTTCATTTGACCCAACGCAACATGCTTTCACTTAATAATAGTAAATGGAAAAATATGTCAAGCGGAAATGCATTTAGAGTTTATTTGCACTCGGCATTAATTTACCATCTCATCACCCTGCACGAGGCAACACAGCACATCACAGCACAAGCACAGATCTACTCAGATATTTATTGCTTTATACTCATTATACCCTTTTGCTCTTTTTGTTTTTCTATATGTATATATATTTTTTTGTTTATTGCCACCCATCGACATTATTTCGCTTTTCGATTTTCAACATAAATTTTAGGTATTTAATACGAGTATGACAGCCATTGGTTGGCGATTTTTTATTTGATTTTATTTATTTTTTTTTTTGGTTTTTTGGTTTTTCTGTAAAATCCTTTTCTATTCCTACTCTTGCTGCTGCATCTGCTGATTTTTGGTAATTTTTCGAATGTCTGCTATTTTTCACCTCCCTGCATCTCTCGCATTCGTACACGCAGTCTGTGTGTTGTCTCCTATGTAGCTGTGTTGGTAATTATGTATGTCCTTGTTGCTGGAGTCGGTGTCGGTATCGTTGCTCTGTTATTGAGTGTGTAATTTTTGAGTGTTGAATTTTGCTGGTGTACATGTATGCTTGCCTAGGCGAGTTTGTTTGTATGTGTGTGCGTATTGCCAGCACTTTAAGCCAATTTAATGCAGCAATTATATTTGCAGCAATGAAGACTGTGCGATATTCCCAGGCAATGTCAAATTTTAATTGGAAATTAATTGAAATTTGTGTGAGTGTTCGTGCGTATAAATGATGGTAGAATGTATATATGTACAATACATGCATATGTATATGCATTATTATCATTGTTTGGAGGCATGTTTACACTCGTATCAGTCGTATGCCACATTGCTGAGCTGGCTTAAAGCGTTCGAGTGAAAGGACCAAATAAGTTGGCTTATTAGGGCAGATTTTAAGCTGTCATATAAATTAATGTGATTAAATGCATATATACATATATATATAATTCTATACATATATATATATATATTTTTATATACCACATGTATTTACATATATACACATATACTCTATCTCTTATGCGTATATTGCGCAGACATACCTACTAACACATTTTCACATATATCTTCTGCAAACAGCAGTATCTGCATACCAACTCCTTGTATATACTCGTACATACATATTTGTCTATCCTTTGATACCCCTTTGTTCACTCTATCTCTCTCTCCCCTCTCTCTTTATTTTTGGTACACAATTTTATGCTTCAAATAGCTTTTTGATATGAATTCAAAGAATTATATTTTAATGCATAAATTAATGCAATTTACTTTTATATAAAACGCAAGTAAATTCTCAGCTAAATACATATATTTGTTTGTATATATGAGTGAAGAGTTAACGTAAAGGGTCTGCGTAAGAGTTATGAAGAATTGGAAATTGTTTAAGGCAAATTGGGAATTTGCTGAAGAGAGAAAATCAAATCAGTTTAATTAATGTGGTTAGCCAAAGTTAATCTGCTTTATTTCTCTACATTATTGGCATAAAAAAAAAAATAAAAATAAGTAAATAAAAAATTTTAAATCAGTTTTCATTTTAGCAAGATAAAATATTTTAACCAAAAATTTATTTAAAAAAATATTAACTAATTTTTTATACACCCGAATTATATATTCATATTTACAAAGGCTGCCTTGTAACGATAAATTTCATGCTAATCAAAAAAAAAATTCAATCAATTCGGTTGAAACATTTGGTAATGCTAATGTTGATTATACTGTTAGCAGAATAAAGTTTTATTTCAGTTTTAACCGAAGCGAAATGCAGTCGTTAATGTTAAATCCTTAACAGTCAATGTTACAACTTAAAATTTCAATGTGCTGTTAATAGCATAGCAAGCAGTCACTTTAGAATTAACATTAATAATGAGCTTGTGCAGTTTCGGTATTGAAAATTGCCTCGCATTTCGGGTGCTGAAATGAAAAAAAAAAATTTCATTAAGCTTATTTTATGTTAACAAAACGAAATGGCATCGCATCGTTAGCTGGACAGCTCTGCTATTTACATAATGCGCTTTTATTAGCAGCGTTGCCCTTTTATTTTGGTTATGAGAGTAGTCCGTACTTTCGTAAAATCGATTTCTTTATTAAAGTAAAAATATCTTAAAAGTATAAAAATATGCGTTGAAAATTTGTAATGAATCTCCCATTAATTTAACGAGTTGTTTGACAAAAGACGTTCCAAAATGCTCGTGTAAAACTTTGATTGCGATTTTTTCTCAACACGATAATTTTTTAACTGCAGACTATTGTAACATAAAAACAGCTCAACTGATAACAATGGAATTTATGTGTATAGCTTTTGAAAAATAGTGCCTGATCAAAAGTTTCTTCTTTTTTATGTTACACTTTTTTTATAAACGCACTATTTTATGCTAATTGGTGTTGCATAGAATGATAAAAAAAAACACTAAATAAGCATTATCTATCCAAGTCTTTCACGAAAAGTTGAACATGAATGCCTCGAGGTAAGCTAAGCGCATCATTCAGATCTTTGCTTATTCACACTCAAGTTGAACTCGTAAGAATATAAAAAATTGTAGCCCGCCTCCGCAGAATCATAAAATTGAGAGGTGAACAGACCTACGCAGGATCTACGAGTATGCTTATATCCAAGTCATACTAATCCTTGTCAAACTGTCGGTCGGTGTAAAGAAATTATTACCTATATTTCTAGCAAATCGAACTTGTTTCTTGGTCTCTACTACATTTCCAGGAAAAACGGTGTTCCCTAGGCAGATTAAACAAAGATCAACTAAAACAAACCACTAAACAAATGAACAAATTTTCAGTCAATTTTTCAGACTCCCCCAATTTTATCTCTCAGATGTTTTTTTTGACAAAGTTCTGACAAGGAACCTCATTTCTGAACAAATCAGTTTCTTGGAGCTTTATATTCTAGCATTTCGATATCGATAATTTTCAATACCAAAGTGTAATTCTTATATGTGTGTTTAGTACCAACTCTAATGCGCTACAGATGATTTTTAACTTTAATACATATATATATACTGGTCCGAATTGGCCAGCTCTGAACATACAATTCTTCTATACAGAGAAAGATCCGAAAAGTTTACCCACAATAAACTGGCTCAACGGACCTTTATGGAGTTAGTGTAAGTGAACACACCACGGATCATCAGGTGACCCTTCCAACGTCTCATATTTGCTGGAATCTATTACCAAGTTACTGCCGGACAACGAAAAAGTTTACGACATATGAATATTTTTTGGGTAAAAAGTCTGATGTAGTCTAGCTCTCACTGTGTGGTTTTCAACTATTTTTCAACATAAAACCACTAAACTCACCAGAGACAATAATAATAAAAACTTTTCCTAGCACATACAGTATATACATACTTTTTAATTATCAATTGCCTAAAGTAGAGATCAAATATCTATAACTGAACCAGTATTTAACTAGTATGAAGCTGATGCATAAATTGGCATTTGCTGTTAAAAATAAAATACAGGAAATTGAAAAAAAAAATATCTAAAAAATGAAAAAAAAAATGCAAGCAAATAATATTCTAATAAAAACTAGTAACACGATTTTACGGGTCTGAGAAGAGATAGATAATATTCTCTGCAGAATATTTTATGCCAGCTGAAAAAGCTTTGACTACCGTTGGCTCGATTAGCTCGTGGACCTACCGGACAGCGTAACTTAAGGTGTTCTTTCCTTTTAAAAAGATTGTCTGAACTTCGGGGTGGCGCGTTTTAGGCACTGAGATTTCTTTGACTCGTTTCTGAACGACTTTTTTCGATATTTTGTTTTTTTTTAAATTTTTTAATGTTATCTGTATGTTTTAAGAAATCTTCTATTATTATATATTTGATATAAATTTTTAAAAATCCTTTTTTCTTTCTTTTTCATTACAGTCTACCACATGAACCCTCACCCAGCACCTGGCGCACAAAAAACGATACGAAATGACTAAATAAGACTGAATCTAAAAAATAAAAAAAGCGCTGCTAAAAGTAAGCGCTTAGACACCGTGTGACCGCATAAAGTTACACAAATCGCCAATGGTGAATAAATAAATTCAACAAAACGACAGACAGAGCTGTGGAGAAATAGACAAGTTGGCGGTAACGCATGCGCGCCGGTAGATAGCATGCGAGACGTAGTCGCCAGCGCAAACTGGGCAGCAACGCTAGGGCAGGAACAGCGCGGGGCGTATGAGTGGTCAAACCAGCAAAACTTGCCAATACTCTAACAAACCAACAGCAACAACAATAGAGAAATATTGATAAATAAAATTTTAATTAAACCGAAATTCGCTAGAGTGCAACAAAAACAATGTATGAATAAAATGCCAGAGGCAAAAGCACACAACGGCAGCTTAAACGAATATAAAATTATCAACAGCGCACTGAAAGCAAAATTAGCATGAAGCAATTTACATTTACTTTATAGCGTCACACATACACACACACCATTACTGTTTCTAACAAAAACGCGTAAGCGAAAATTTACATATCAAGGTGTCAGCGTGAGCGCGGCTGGAAGCAAAGGCGTGCTGCACGTCAAACGTTCAATAAGATAACAACTAAATAAATAACAACAGCAATTAGTTAGTACAGCGCAAACATGGTCAAGGGCATTTTAGTGAATCGCAAAGCGGATGACTCGCACAAGGCGCAGCTGAAAATGGAGCATGCCGACCTCGTCGCCGAGATGCAAACGGTGGAAAACCTGCCGACGCACGAGCGCCTGCAGTTGGCGCGACTGTAAGTGCAAGTTACAAGGCGTAACCGCCTTTCTTACCGTCTCTTTACTTTTATACCTTACATACAAGTACATGCATATGTATGTATGTATGCATATATCGTATGTAAAAATTATTTATTTATGCATTTTTTTTTTTGTAATTTGCCTTCCTTTCCTGTATTTTCATTTTCTTCTTTGTAGCCGCCGCACTCAGCAGCTGAAGGTCGCACGTCAAAAGGAGAAGGAATGGTTGAAATTACAACGCGCCAAAGGTAATACGACCTCAGCGCTCAGCGGCAGCCATACCACACACCATTTTCGTTCGAACTCAAGCAGCGCTAGTCGTCATATATCCTTCGAGAGTAGCGTAGTGTTGCTAGAGGCTGCGAGTCGTAATGATATGCATGAGGTAGCTGAGCTACTGGAGCGTGGCATTACACCGGATGCAGCGAATGAGGATGGCCTGACGGCGCTGCATCAATGTTGCATAGATAATAATGTCGAAATGTTAAGTCTACTGCTGAACTATGGTGCAAATGTCGATGCGCAGGATAGTGATAAGTGGACGCCGTTGCATGCGGCCGCGACATGTGGGCACTTGGAGTTGGTGCGCATACTAATCGATCGTGGTGCAAATTTGTTGGCGGTGAATACGGATGGTAATATGCCGTATGATCTGTGTGATGATGAGAATACATTGGACTATATTGAGGCTGAGATGTCGAAACGTGGCGTGACGCAGGAGTTGATCGACGAAACGCGTTCATCGACAGAGCGTCAAATGCTGAAGGATTTGATGGAAGTGGCGCGCACGGGTGGGGACCTGGAGGAGCCCGACTATCAGGGTGCTACGCCGGTGAGTGCGAGGGCGTAGAGATTTTCTTTTTAATTATTAATATTATTTATTTTTTTGTGGTTATTAAAGTTGCACATTGCCGCGGCGAATGGTTATGTGCGCGTAGTGGAATTCCTGTTGGAGATGCATGTCAATGTCGATGCGGTGGATAAGGATATGTGGTCGCCGGTGCATGCGGCGGCGTGTTGGGGGCATGTAAGTCTGAATAAAAATAAATAAATAGAAATAAATTAAATACAAGAAATCAAAACAATAAAAATAAATTTATTAAAATGAAATTCAGTAGCAAATATAAAATAAAATAAATTAAATTAAATTAAGTGAATAAATTAAAATAAAATAAAATACTAAAAAAAAGTGAAATCAAATAAGAAAAAGTAAATAAAATAAATAAAATAAAAAAATATATAAAATAAAAAAATATATAAAATAAAAAAATATATAAAATAAAATAAAATAAAATACAATAAAATAAAATAAAATAAATTAAGGGAAATAGCTTAAAATAAAATAAAATACTAAAAAAGTAAAGTGAAATCAAATAAGAAAAAGTAAAATAAAATAAAATGAATAAATTAAAGTAAATAAAACTAATAAAATAAAATAAATAAAAATAAATAAAATTAATAAATTAAAATAAATCAAATAAAATAAAAGTCTTAGTATTTTATAATACTTAAAAATAAAATAACATAAAGTAGAACAACATAAAATTAAGTAAAGTAGAGCAAAATGAAGGAAAATAAAATAAAATAAAATAAAATAAAATGAAAATGAAGGAAAAAAAATCGTGAAGTAACAAAATAAAAAGAAATAAATATGAGCAAAATTAAATAAAACAAAAAAATATACATAAAAAAGTTGAATAAAATGTTACTAACTAAAATATAATAAAAAATGTAATAAATTAATTTAAAAAATATAAAATAGATTAAATTAAATCTAAATTACCTAAAATTAATATAAATTAAATTAAATTAAGTAAAATAAATTAAAATAAATTACAATTCAAAAATATAAAATGAAAAATTAAAAAAAAAAAAAAATTAAAATATATTAAAGTAAATTAAAATATATTAAAATAAAATAAATAAAACTAAATTAAATTGAATTAAATAAAATTAAATTAAAAAAAGAATAAATAAAATAAAATAAAATAAAATGAAATATAATATAATAAAATTAAGTTTAAAAAGCAAAATTAAATTAAAATGGAATATTTCATTTAAATTAAATAAATTAAAAAATTATAGAATAGATGAAACTGTATTAAAAATTTTTATTTACTTCCTCCAAGCTCAAAACAGTTTGTTAATATATAAATTATCTCTTTAAAACAGTTAGAGGTGCTGGAGATGCTCGCGCAATGTGGTGCTGATCTAAATGCTAAAAATAAGGACGATGAAACGCCCTCAGGTACGCTAAATAAAATAAAAAAATTTAATATATGATCGGGATTAAAATATTTAATATTTATATTTATATTATTATGTGAACTTTGAAGTGTCCTCAATTTTAAATATAAACCATTTATCTATGCACAGATATTTGCGAAGATCCCGAAATACGCGAACGCATCGAACAGCTGAAGACCGAACAGGAGAGCAAACGGCTGGCAGAAGCGCAACGACGACGCGTGCGACGCTCGCAAAGCAACAACACGCGGTAAGATCTTAATATTTACCATCTTCTACGTATTTTTCACTATATTTTTCCGTTTTTTTATTATATGTTTTCCTTTGCCACAACACAGCGCCCAATCTGTCCGCCGCACTTCCCTGCGCGACAAGACGCTAACAACCAAAAAGGATGCCGTCGAAGAGGCACGCCTGCGTCTGCAAGCACAAGAAGTCTTCATAACGCCCGACAGTGCAACGCTTGCCGATGCAAAAGGTCTCAGCCACAACACTACCAATCATCATTCCACAATGGCGCTGCGAGATAGCGTCAATGACACAGCAGCAAACACGACGCCAGCCTCCTCTGTACACGACTACAATTGGCTAACGAAAGCGACGCCGCCAACAAATAATAATAATAATGCTAATAATAATAATAACAATACGATTAGTACTAATAATAACAACGATAAAAAGGCTATTGCTTATACGGCAGCTAGTCTTGCCACAGCGGCGGCAATGTCAAAAACAACATCGTCAACAACAACAACAACAACAACAAATGGCATAAGCAACTCCTACTTACCACATTCAATGTCCGCCATCGATGTGATGGATGCCTCGTCGCATGCATTCAACTCACGACGACCGCCGGAGGGTCGTGAAAATGATGAATTGCAATTGAACGCCTACAAAGTGAGTAGTGGGGGTGAACATCATCGTTCCACCTCGGCAACGGCAATGATTGTAAGCGATCGTAGTAATATGGCAGCGGCGACCGCCACGACGGCCGGACCGGATACGGTGCATATACAGTCCAGTAAAGAGGCGGCAAATGGCAAGATAAATGTCCAAGTGACTGTGTTGGTGGGTGAGTACAAGTACTGTTAGTGACAAGTGGCTACTTGGCGAGTTTAAGGGGTAGAAAAAAAGAAGTAGAGGAAGAGGGAAGTGGAGAAAGTTGGCAAGAGGGTGGTAAAGCGTGTTAAAAATAAATAAATAAGTTGTCTACTTAGTGGGTGTGGTAAATACGAGTATGTATGTGTGTAGTTTATGATTAATGTAATGCTTTTAGTTTATTTCGTATGCAGCGTGACTTCGTTCAAACGCCTGAAAGTAGACTATTATTTTTCCCATTTATTTTGTGCTTGAAGGGCATGCTTTTTCTCGTAGTGAGCGACATTTTACTCAGTTTTCATATTTACATATATATTATTTGTAGCAATATTAATGCATACTCTTAGGACGCATTCTATTTAAAAGAATTATTATTTTTTTTTAGTTTTCGTGAATATGTTATTAAAATTATTTTATATGTATTACAAATCATATCTATGCCTATTATGTAGTATATGCTTATTTAGAGTGACCATATGCTTGAATATTTCGTCATTTGTATTTTTGAATTTTTGTTTAATATTTTTTGATATGAAAATATTTTTAGTTAGATTGGTCAGGACAATTTTGAATCGAATGATCATGTCGGTGACCAAATAAAGGGTGTTTTTTTCGAGTCGCCTCACACTCTTATTCTTCTATCCCATTTAGATCCATCAATATATATCTCAATATGGTAGAATGGGGTATCCAAGTTTTTGTTCCATTCCGCTCAATAGCTTTACGGTCTGGAATCAACTTTTGCCTGTTGACAATACATAGTCTCGGTGGCCAATCGCAATCCCCTCTTCCAGAGATAACACGGTCCGGAAACTTTTCCCTTAAAATATCGATGGTTTCGTTCCTTTGTGGCAACCGTAACTCCATCTTGTTGAAAGTAAACGTTGTCCAGATCATCTTTCGATAGCGCAATCCATTCATCGGAACTGTTGCTCGAGACTCTTTTTCGAAAAAAAATAAGGTCCAATGACACTGCCGAACCAGAAAACCGCATCAAACAGTTACATGTTGAGGATAGAGAGGCTTTTCAACAATAAATATTGGGTTTTCCTAGCTCCTAGTTTTGCTTATTGACGCTAAATCGAAATGGAAATGGTCCCCAACAGTCAATATGATTTTTCGAATAAAAATTTTTATAATAAATTTTAATATAATAATTTCAATGCGCTGCCGAAGCGTGTATCGTTCCATTTGTACTGCTGACGTAGTCTTTATTTGTCATATGTCACAAAATTACAGCTTCAAAAAGTGACATCTACCGGTACAGCGAGCTATTCAACTATTCAAAACAGCAACTCTTATTGGAAAACCCTTTAGCATTGATCGTTCTTTTACATAAGAATTTTTTTTAGAATTTAATAGATTTTTTTTAATATAAAATTTTTCGAAATATTTTTAGGTTAAGTCGAATTTTTTTTTCAAATACACACCCTAATGTGCATACACATATAATTGCATAATAAATGTTATAAATACCAGTTCTGTCCGTGCTTAAAGTCCTTTATACTTAGTTTAATTAGTATATTAGCATATATATATGTAAGTAGTATCATTTAACACGCTTTTATAGAAAATCAATGTCATTAAAAAGCTTGCGATTATACTGCACTTGCACTGCTAATGACAACATAATACCAGCATTTAAGTGCAATAGTATGTGAGACCACGATAACGACAAACCGACAATGTAATATTAGTATTTATGTCTAAGTATCTGTATCATAGCAATAATTAGCTAAATTAACACATTTACTGATTTATCGTATTATACCATATCATATTTTTGTCTATACTTACATATGTATGTATATATGTTTGTATGTATGTACGTCGTGTTGCTTGCATTCATTAATGTATTTTTCCCCACATTTGTTTTTATTTTCTTTCTCCTTTTTTTCCCATGCCATTTTATTAATTGATTACGTCCTGCATGTCGTTGTTGTTGTTACCATATATACACTTGTATATCAATGTTTTTAAATCAACATGTGACAATGGTTGCTGATTATATACATACATTTGTCCAACGTCAACGTTTACATATAAATGTGCCATATAAAATGTGACATGACTGAACGCGTGCCAACAATCATCTGCTCATCACAAAAAAAAAAAAAAAAAATTAAATGAAATTCGCATAAATGACGTGACAACAACAATAAAAATGTTTGCACTTCATCAACACATATTTATATATGTATATATGTAACAAATGCACGCACCTCTTCACGCACGCACGCACGTACGCACGCACGCACGCACTCACACACACACATACTCACATGCGCGCTCGCAGACACTACAAATACGCATCATCATCAACAACAACATCAACAGCAACAACAACAACAACAATTGCCTACAACAACGCTTATACAACCGCATACACTCTCCATGGAGAGTCTCAACAACACTTCCTCAGCCTCTTATGCGGCCGCCACTTTAGCCAATTTGAAGAAGCAACGCTCTCTCTCGCGCACAAATAATGTATTGATAAGTGAAAATGGTTCCGTTTTAGGCGCTGCCAACAACACCAACAACACAATCAACAATCACCTGCATATGGGTAGTGGTGTCAACAACAACAACTCAATATTAACAGCAGGTGACACAACGAGCACAACAGCGGTAAATCAGCAACCACTAAGCGGTGCTCTACACCCAAGTCTAATGGATTTCAATGGTGCTGGTGGTGGCGCTGGTACTGGTGGTAGTATAACAAGTGGTGGCGAACAGTCGACCGGTTACTCGAATGCCTCGTCGATGAATAAATTTAGCGGTATAACGGGTGATGTGGTTAGTGATAGTACGAGCTCGAAGAAATGCTGTATGCTGATGTGAATGTGAAATTGTTTTATTCTTATCAACATTTGCCGTTGTGTGTGTGTATATTTGACAAGTTTTTTGTGGCGCACGGTTTGGCGGCAGAGCAGTATTTGGAAATGGCATTTTAAGCATTAATTAAACTACACTTTTGTATCTACATACATATTTAACTATGTATGTGCTATATGTACAAAATATGCGAAGCTGCATAATACACAAACACACACACACGTATTGCTGAAGGTAGATAGGTATGTATGTGTGTGTGTAGCTGACAGCACGTGTCCAGTGTGTGGCATAATAACTTGTGCATCAAATTAACAGCGTTTATTAAATACATACATAGTAAGTGTAGTTGCAGCGTGTAGACTTAAGGTTTTTTTTGCACTAAAACAATATATACACACACACACAAAGTACACTGCAAAGTGCAGAGAATTTACACTTTTTAAATGTAAACATAATTCACTGTACACTCAACACCTTTTTCTATGTATTTTGTTGGTTTGTTGCTCTTGCAGAAGCCGCTTACTGCCAGCATCAGTTGTTGGAGGTTTTGCTTTTTTTCAATATTTTTGTTTGATTACCGTTAAATAATTTATTAAAAAATTAAAAAAAAAAAAATAATATTAAATAAATGAAATGAAATAAATATAATATGATGTTAATGTTAATGTTAATGTTAATGTTAATGTTAATGTTAATGTTAATGTTAATGTTAATGTTAATATTAATGTTAATGTTAATGTTAATGTTAATGTTAATGTTAATGTTAATGTTGAAATATCTGCTTGCTATGACATTAACAGCACACTGAAACTTTAGCATGCAACATTATTATCTTTTAAGGATTTAACATTATCTGTTAACGATTTAACATTAACTACAGCATTTCGTCGAGGGTAAAAATGAAATAAATTTTACTCTATTAACAGCATTAAACGATAACATTCCCAAATACTTCAGTGAATCAAATTTTTTTGTGAAGGTGAAATTTATCGTTACCAGTCAGTCCAGTGCTTAAAATGCTGAAGCACAAATCTATCTAAGACAGTAAAGTCGCGCAAACTAAAGTCAGCCAAGGGTATTTTACTTTTCTGAAATAAATATTAACCATTCTGAAGGGTTTCAAAATTTAATATAAAAATACAGTATCAACATTTTTTTCGAAATAACAAGTTAAACTTATTTCAAGCACAGATAGTTGGTAAGCTAAACAATATTTTGGCTCAGTTAAAGATTAAAAAAAATCTTACAAATGAATTATTGAACTAGTTGGAGAATAAATTAAAATTCATCCAGGACCGCAATAGCAGAGTTGTTAGCAGAGCGGAAGGTTAGTGTTCGAACCAAGAGCAAAAATTATAGAGAAATTATTTTTCTAATTGCGGTCGCCCTTCAGCATAAAATAAATAAAAGCTGTTTTTTTTTTTTTTTTTTTTTAAAATAAATTTCAGAAAGTATTCCCATAATTTTTTGAAAATCTTTCATTAACAATATTTGAATCCAAAAAAAAGCTTCTTAACTCTAATTTTGATATTTCAAACCTCCAACAACGGCAGTTTCGAATTTAAATATGCAAAGCACAAATTCAATAAAAAACCAAAAAAAGCAACAAAATACACCAAACTTCACCCTATATGCCACTAATCTTACCAATGCATCACAAGATCTGATTAAGAAATGACTACAAATATTGTGGAATAATAAATAAATATTAAAAATAAAAAAATAAAAAGCATTTAAAAAAATCAATAAAATAAAAAAATAAAATAAATAAAAGTCATGAAATTTATTTCATAAAAAATAAAAAAAAAACTATAAAATTTATTTAAAAAACATAAATCAATAAAATCTATTTAAAAAAACTAATAAAATTTATTTAATAAAAATAATTTAAAAAGTTAGTAAAATTCATTTAACAATTAAATAAAATAAATTAAATTAAACCAAGAGGGCATTTGAATCAAAAAAGTTCAACGGAAATTAAATCAATACAAAGAAAAACACATACATATAGAAAAATAAATTATTAAAAAAATAAAAAAGTAAATAAATAGAGCAAAATTCAACGGCAACAAATAACAAATAAATATATTTACTAATAATATATAAATAAGTATTGCATACAAATTGTGAAAATGTGCTGAAAAACTATTAGAAAAAACTGTTTCACCAAAACGAAAGTAGCTTTTCGTAAATCAAAACAAAAAATTAAAAAAAAAAAATCATTAGGAAAAGTGAAAATTAAGTAATAAAATTGTACTTTTTAATAAACTCCAAAAAAAAAAAAAAACGAAAAATGAAAATTCATAATTAATTAAATGAAAAATATGCGCATATTTAATTACACTACATACACAACTACATATTCATAGAAGCAAGCAAAGGAAATGTAAAGCAAGTGTCTTTTAGTATGTTAGGCATTTATTGTTGTTGTTTTCTTCAATTTTTTTCTTTCAATCATTTATACAATAAGTATGTATGTAGAATATGGAAAATGAAAATTGTATTATTATTAGATATTTAAAGGAAAAAATGTGAGGACGAATTGTTGTTATGTGCATAGAAGAGCTTTACTTTATATTTATTAATGAACTGCCGACAGACAGACGTTGGAAAGCAAGCTGAATATATATGTAAACATACCATTCAGATAACCCAAAGCATAATTACTTTGTTGTTTTTCTCAAAAATAAAAATAAAAATAAAAATTAAAGAGAAAAACTATAAAATTTAAAAAAAATTATGAAACGACTTAAAAGCAATAAAATTTGCGAGCGAAAAATGCCAGGCATAAAGTGATCATATTTTCTTTTTTTATTAGTTTTTTATAAGTTTTCTGCTTATACATTTTGTATAATATATTTAAATTATAAATATATATATATATATATATTTGTAGCAATATATTCGCTAGACTATTGAAGCTGTGCGAAAGAGCGAATTCGTGCAAATTTCTAAATATTTTTTTATTTACAATTATTGTAAATATTATTATATATTTAAAAAACATCACACTTTTAATTCCAAGTATTTATCATATTATTGCTATTAATAAATAAATCTTTTAATGATTTCAAACGCTCAATTGCATAGCTTTATATCTACTCTAAATTGAAATCGTAAAGCAACTAAAAATAAAAAAGTGAATTGAAAGTTATGGCCTTATTTGTTAACTAAATAAGTAAAAAGCTTAGTTACTTAATTAATTAATTGTATTATGACTTTATATTGAAAACTGTATTATATTAACTAATATGTATTGTAATTTTAGTTATGAAAATTTAGCGTGATAGAAAAATACGATGAAAGAAAGTAAAATAAAATTAAAAAAATTAAATAATTACAGAGTAAAAAGAAATAAAAAAGGTTAAAAGATTAAAAAACAATAAAATTAATAGAAATGATAAGAGATTAATTTGGTTCTATCAATTAAATAATATTAAAATGAAATAAAACCAAATAAACGAAAACAAAATAATAAAATTAAAATTAAATAAAATATATAAAAATAAAACAAAACTAATTAAAAAATAAATATAAAACAAAATTATTTTAAAATAAAAAAATAAATTAAAATTAAAAAAATATAAAAAATTAAATAAAATAGTAATAAAAAAATCATTTGTAAAAACAAATAAAAAATTTTAAAATGAAATATGTAATGCCGAATAAAATACAATAAAATAATAAAATGTAAATGAAGTAAAGTTATATACAAATAAAAATAAAATAAAACAAAAGAAAAATAAAATAGTAGTTTAAAAAATAAAATTTAAATAAAATATAATAAAATGAAAAAACGGGTTAAAAAATTAAATAAAAGTAAAGTAAAAACAAATTAAAGCAAAATTAAAAAAAATTAAATAAATTAAATCAAATGAAATAAAAAATAAAATAAACTGATAAAAAAGGGTTAAAATAAAATGAAATATATAAATATAAAGCACAATAAATCAGTATAAAATAAATTAAATGAAAAAATAAATATAAATAAAATACAAAAAAAGAATTAAACAAAAAAATAAAACTAAAATGAAATAGAAACAAATCAATACAAAATAAAATAAATCAAATTAAAAGAAATATAAAATTAATTAGTTAAAATAAAATAAAATATATTAATGTAAAATAAAATAAATCAATATAAAATAAATTAAATAAAAAAATAAATTTAAATAATATAAAAAAATAAAACAAAAATAAAATAAAAACAAAATAAAGCAAAAATTAAATAAATCAAATTAAAATAAAATAAAATATATTAATGTAAAATAAAATAAATCAATATTAAATAAATTAAATAAAAAAATTAATTCAAATAATATAAAAAAATAAAACAAAAATAAAATAAAAACAAATTAAAACAAAATAATATAAATTAAATCAAAAGAAATAAAAGTGTATTAAATAAAAAAAAATATATTAATATAAAATAAAATAAATCAATACAAAATAAAATAAATCAGATTAAATAAATAAAATAGATATCAAAGTAAACTAAAACAAAGGAAAATTGAAAAAATAGTTTTAAAAATAAAATAAAAACAAATTAAAGCAAAACTAAATAAAATAATTTAAAACAAAAATATTAAACTAAATTATTTTAAATTAAAATAACATAAAACCTAATAAATTGAAACAAAATTAATGTAAAAATAAAATAAAAGAGAACAAAACATATAGAAATAAAGTAAAACCAAAATGAAAAAATAATACTTGAAAAAAAAATGGAAAATATTTAAATGAAATAATACCAAATAAAAATATTAAAAAGAAAATAAAAATATTGGAACAATATTAAATAAATTAAAATATATTGGTATAAAATAAAATAAATTGAATCATAATGACCAAATGATAGGAAACTAAATAAATTAATACAAGATAAATTAGCTAACTAACTTGATAATAATTTGTAAGAAATGAAGTTGTATTTAGAAAACTGTCTATTGTAGTTACATAAAAGATGTATAACTATACAATTTAAAAAAAAATATATATATATATGTATAAGTAAATTAAAGAAAGCAAAATATATAAACATTAGTTAATTGAAAAAGAAATAAATAAAAAGAGGATTATGCATAAAAAAAAAATATTCATGTTGAACTTATTTCGCACAGAAAATCGATGAATAAAGGTTGAACTTTCTTTTTGAATAAATTTTTTGATGAACTATCGGCAGCAGAATACGCAGAAAACTCAGGAACCCGTAAACCACTGAGCGTTAAGGTTAAATTAGTGGTGCCATAACCATACCCGTATAAAACAGCTGATCCAACCAAATTAATGGGCAGTATTGTTTCTTATTAGTGGTGCCATAACATAACGCCAAAATATTTATTTCTCTCATAAACAAAATGAACATAAAGTGGACCACAAAATTCAGTTGGTAGTTGTGGCTTTGGCCATGCCGTTATACTATGGCATCACTAATCGAAGACAGTGCTGCCCATATATTTTGTTGCTTCAGCTGTTTTTTGTTGCTATGGTTATAGTACCTTGAATTAAAAATACAATTAAAAGTTAAATATATATCTCAGAAATTTAATTTCTTTGGTAATGAACTTCTGATTTTTTTTTTGAATATTTACCCTAAGTGCATAACATAATCACTATCTGGTAAGTACTCTACTTTAAATTCATTTCCAACATGCAACTCTGCGCGTTTCCGTTTCACCAACTATGCAAACAACAGCTGTTTTAAATCCAGGCAAATTAACAAAATAATACTTAAGCAAATGCATAGTAAATAAATCAATATAGTAGATATTTTTTTTTTATTATTCATTAAATTAAAATAATGCAGAAATTTGTATATTAGTATGAAAAATATTACTCTTAAATAAGTACACCACCGGCTGAAGTACCGAATTGTGCCGGAAACATACGGCAGAGCGGAATTTCCCCAACATCAAACGGAACACCAACTCTTAATATCAGAACAACAAGATAATGACAAAATCGCTACTAAAATACCGTTACAGCTTTACAGCCGGCGCATTTGCTGCTGGTGGCAGTTTTTTCGGCCATGCACCAAGTCAGCTCTCAGAGTTGCCTATATTAATTCGGTTATTTGAATATACGCCAGAGACTATCTACTATTTAGGTAAATTAAATGATATTTGATGAGTTGTAAACTAGTTAAATATATATATTTACTTCTATTGATGCATAGAACTGATTTTACTACGCGCTCTACCCATTGCGCTGATGCTGATTTGTAATGTACTAAATTGGCGGTACTTCCTTAAAGCTTTGCAATGCACTGAACAAACGTTAACTGCAACTGTGCTTACTGCTGCCACCAACTATATGTTTTCGGTAAGTAATCTATTAATAAAGAAATACATACATATTTCATGTATTTTTATTTCTCTCTTGACGCGCTTCTTGTGAACAAAATATATCTTCATATCTACTTAGTTCCTGCTAGGCGCAATTGTTTACGGTGAAAAAGTAACTATGTTATCAACTTTGGGCGCAGCATTTATCATTGTGGGTCTATGGTTCCTTTGCAAGGCGCAAAAAGTGAAAGATAAAATGAAAAAGCTGCATTGAAAAGTATTTAATATTAATAGCCTCTTTTAAATTGTTGATGAAGTGCTAAAATGTATTTTTTTTTTTGGTATTTAACAGTGATTTATAGAAGAATAAAAGATGAAAATATGTGGAAAAAATTACGCAATTTTAGCCAAAACATTATTTTTGTTGACAGCAATGAAAACATCCCATAACGTCCAAGTTAAAACCAACCCCAAGTGTAATAATTAAACATATTTTTTTTTGATTTTTCTGTTGGTTGGTTTCTTTCTCTTTTTTTTTAATATAAGTAATATTTTTGTATCATTTATTTGTTGTGGTTTTTTTTTTATCAATTAATTTTAATAATAATAATAGTAATAATAATTATTATAATAGGTAGGCGTATAATTACTTTCTGTTTTGCTCTTCATCTCAAGTTACACACCTTGAAATACCAAAAAAAGTCATATGCGATCACCTGAAGACAAGCACAAACGACACAAAGTTAGTTTCTTTAAGCCAGCTTAGAGCTGTTACTCTTAGTATCTCAAGTCCGACGTTTTAAACATTTTTTTTTTTTTGTTATAAGTTTGAATTTTTTGTTTTGACTTTATTTGGCTTAAGCTTAAAGCTTCTAAAACGCCTCTTATTTCGCTCGTATTTTTTCGCAGTGTTTTGAAAATTTAAATATTTTTTTTTTGCGAAAATAATTTTCTCTTATTTGAAATTGTGTCGTTTGTTTTGTTTCTTCTACTGATCTCATATGCATGTTTCCGCTACGTTTTCGTCATCGTTCTATGCTTCCGTTCCGCTGGCTTACATGATGAAAGAGCAATTACATACATTTATAATATTTATTTATTAGAAAAAAAATGAACATAAATAAGTATTTCTGTAATTGAAATTAGCATAAAGTTTTCTTGCATTTCTTTAAATATAATATTCTTTTTCTTCTTCTTCTTCCTTATCTCGTTTTCTTTAGTTCTCCGCTTTTTATCTTTTATTTTTTTTCACGCATTTTTTTGTTTTGTTTTGCTGTTTGCTTTGTAATTTTTGTTTACGAAATTAATTATAAGCGCGCGCGCGTATATATGTTTACATTCATTTGTTGTTGCTGTTTTGTTGCAGTTTCGGTTGCTTTATGTGTGCTTTGGTGGTCACCGCTGCTACTATGAACTGCAACTTTGACTTTTGCCACACTACTAATTAAAGGTTAAATGTTTTTTTTTTTTTTTTAGTTTTTGTTTTCAGTTTCTATATGTAAGTGTATGTGTATGTATATATATGTGTTTTGTATGTATGTATTTATGTAATATTCTTTTTTCATTTTTGCTTCCCGTTTATATGTATATATATATTCATATACATATATATATATGTATTTACGATTTTTTTTTAAAAGGTTCTCATCAATCATTCTGCCTTCTGCTTCAATGCCGTTACTTCAATTCTAACACACGCTCACCATGTTTCGCTTCTAACCTGTATTCTTTCATGTAAGTGTCACATTGTTTGAATTTCGTACACTTCAGTTTTTATTATCCAAACCCATTGGCATGCGTTGCGATGACCGGCTCATGTAGGAACCGGACGACGTATTGGTTTGACCGCCAGCACTGTTACGCCCGCCGAGTGGCCGTGAAGGTGGCGCATTACCACGTCCATTACCGCCTGTGCCACCAGCACTGCTACCACCGCCGTTACCGCCACCGCTGCGCGGACCACGGTAGTTGCCGGAATCATAACGCGAGCCATTATCTTTGTTGGAGTACATGTTGCCGCTGCCGTTTTGGTAGTATGAGCCACTCGACGAATTATCATTGTTGCGGAAGTAGATGCCACCACTACCACCACGTCCACCGCCGTTCTGTTGTGAATTGCCATAACTACCACGGCCGCGACGTCGCTGGAACTGGCGGCCGTTGTTGTAGTGACCTGCAATGACAATGTTTAATAAAAAAAAAAAAATCAATTTTTTTTTTCTTCAAATCTTTTACTAACCTCCATCCTGTTGCTGGTTCGAGCCCCAGTGGTTGGATTCATGCGCGCTACCTGTCGACTGCGTGCCACCACCATCGCCGTAGCCGGCGCCACCTACACTACTGCCAGCGCCACTGTTGCCACCGATGCCGCCCGTTCCGCCACTACCGGCGCCACTGCTGTTGCTCGACGTCCATTCTATTTTACCAATACGCTCGCTATTACCGCTGGGGGTCGACGGATTTGAGAGCGCATTCATTTCAGCGCTCCATTTGGTGGGCGCTTCCAGTGCGCTGCTTGCACCACCCACACTGCTGCTGCTGCTCACGCCACTACTGGACTTCAAAGCATTGGCAAGCGCTGCAGTTGCTGCGGCATTGGTGACAACATTACTGCCAATACTGGCGGCTGAACGCAGACTGGCCGCGTTGGCTTTTGACATGGCATCCCATTCGTTGACTATCACCGATTCGCTGGCATTGTATTTGCTGTGTTGTGCGTTCAATTCTTCCGCGACCTTCATCTCACCTGAGGCAGCAGCTGCAGCAGCGGCGGCGGCAGCAGCACTAGCTTTTGCCACTGCGGCCAATTGTTGTTGCATTTGTTGCTCGTACGTCAAGTTTACAACATTACTATCGAAGCCGAGAAAACCAGCGCTGGTGACATCCGACACACGTACATCACCGGGTTGCATGCCCAATGGGGATTGTGATTGTTGAGCTTGCTGCTGTTGGTGTTGCACCTGCTGTTGCTGCTGCAGTTGTTGTTGCTGTGTATTTTGTTGTGGTAAGCGAGCTTGCGGCGCAGCCATGCGTGCCATAATCATTATTGGAGGTTGTTGTGGCTGTTGCTGTTGCTGTTGTTGCTGCTGCTGTTCCGTAAGCAACAACTGTTGCTGATGTGCGGCAGCGGCGGCGACATCTTGCGACGACATGCCAGGACCACCGACAGGCGAAAACAATTGTGGATGCTTTGGCTGTTGTTGTTGCTGCTGCTGATGTTGTTGTTGTTGGAACATAGGGCTAGGTGTACTGCTTGCTAGTGTGGGCGTGTTGCTGGTGTTGCCGCTTGTTGGCGGTGCAACACTTGATGCCGCCTGCATGGGTGGGAATGACTGATTAGTGAATGTTTGCGTTGGAATTGTCTGCTGGGGTTGAGATTGTTGGGCCTGTTGGTGTTGTTGTTGCAAGAGTTGCTGTTGTTGCAAGTGATGTTGCTGTTGTGATTTATGCAGCTCCGCTGTTTGCATATCACCGCCATGACCTAATAAGTTTTGTTGTTGCAATTGTTGTTGAGCTTGTGAGAGATTATCCTGTGAAATTGGTTGCTGCTGTTGCTGTTGTGGTGGCTGCTGCTGCTGCTCAAATACAACACTACCAATAGGCGCATTGCCACCTAACTCAGGGGAATCGAGTTCACTTTCTTGTAAAAAATAGAAACTACCATTGCCAATGATTTCGGCAACTGGACGCATCTGTTGCTGCATAAACTGTTGTCGATTATGTGGAAATAAGCCCTGCTCCACGGCGCGTACAGTGGTTGGTGTAAAATGTCCCGGTGGTGGTTGTGGGGCACCATGAATTGGGATTGCGCCTTGTGGCAATTGGGGAGCGTTCACAGATGTGCCGTCGCTAGCTATCATTTGACGTTGCTGTTGTGGTGGTGAGTGCCCCAGCGGCACCAATTGTGGTACTTGCGGTACACCAATAATACTGCCAGGTGGTACTTGTTGCAATTGTGGTGGCGCTCCTTGCATTTGTTGTGCTGCAAACATGGCTACATGAACTGGTGCGCCACCGGGCGCTTGTAATTGGGTCTGAAAATTGGGCACTGCACCACTTGTCATAGCATTGTGTGGTGGTGGCTGCATAACAGCGGCATTATGCTGCTGTGACGACTGTGTTGGTATACCAGCCTGAACTTGTTGTTGTACATCAAGGTGCTCTTTAGCTGCTTGCTGTGGTACAATATGTTGCGGCAATGGTTGCGATTGTTGCTGCTGCTGCTGCTGCAAATCGTTGGAGAGAACGTGCGATGTGAGATTAATAGCTTCATCGCCAACACCACCTAAATTCGCATTCTGTTCATCCAATTCTTCTTCTCCATCAGCATTTGCGACATTTAACTTTTCCATTCCTTCTTCCAAAGGTAATTCTTCGGTATTAACCAACTCTTCATTGTCGGCGGCGTTATTAAACTCTTCCTCTTCTTCCTTTACCTCAACCTCTGGCTCCGGAACGACCATATAGACTTTATCCAAATAACCAGACTCCTGAATTTGATTGAAAACCCGCCTTAGCTGATCGTAAGTAATGTTTTCAGCATACGCTTTCGGGCGTCCATCAATAGTCATGGAAAAAAGTTCGGCAGCTTTTTGAGCGGTTGACAGAAAAGGTAAATCTTCGGTAGACTCAGGACGGGTAGTTTGAACATCACCACCACTGAAATGGAATGTATACACTTTTATAGACGTTATTTTGACATTTGTAAAAAGCCAAAAACTTACAATTTCATCAGTAAATCCACATCAGCAGTTTCCAACTTAGAAGCGCCATTCTCACCATTCAAAAAGTCGGCGCGTATGGATTCATCGTTGAAGCAATTAATAATATTTTGAATAACTAAAACTTCACGTATTTTGACAGTCTCAGCCAGTGCACGCGTAATAACATCCTGGAAAATATTTTCAAAATAGAAGCATTTAGAAAAATTGAAAAAAATAAATTAAATTATTAAAGATACCTTGCGTGCTTGTTTCCTTTGCTCCTTTTCAGCATCCTTCACAAATTGCCACATTTGCTTGGAGAGCTCACGTGCGAATTCAAGTGTAGCAATAACAGCATCATACTTTGCTACAGCAGCCTTCTGGTCGGTACTCAACTCCTTACCTGATGCTTGAATGGTACGATATGATTCCAACTTAGTCTGTGAAAATTTTTAAACCAAAGAAACTATTAAAATAGAACGCTTCAAATTTTATGTATGATGCAATAAACAAACGAAACATTGGAAAATATGTAGGCTTTGTAAATTCTAATTATCACATGTTCAGCACACACTTTTGCTTTGCATTTATTTTCATTATGGTATTTATTAATTTTACATACACCGGTATGGCGATGAAACTGATCAACCTGCATTATAGGTAAGACTTGTGTTTGCAAATACTAAATCGTAAACCAAACCAGTTATACATTTATAATTCTGATTTTAGAGGTTAAGGTGTTTGCTCTAAAAAATATTCTAGTTGAATTAACATAAAGATTAAAATATACCATAAATGCTGGCTAACAAGTTTATAAAAAAATGCAGGATTTTAATGACTCCAAGGAAAAAATGTGCATAGATGTCATACTTGTTACTACTGACAGGGCTGCATTTACTTGCAATTAAAATAAATACTAAAAAGTTAAGAAAAAATTATTCATACATTTGAGTAATAAATAAAAATAAAAAAAAGCTAAATATAATACTTTTGCATATACATATTCCGTGCGTGCGTAAATATTTTTGGATTGTTTACTAATCCCACACTCGTAACAGATAAAGTTTCGTTTATAAAATTAACGCATTCCTTCCTTTGCGGCTTATCTAAAAGCTATTAAAGAATTTGTTGACGAAATTGCAATACGAAGTAGTAAACAAAGAAAGGTTTAATTTTATGCGAGTATGATAAATAAGAATAGGCAAATATTTTGCTTATTACGAATACTACGAGATGTGAAAAATGCTACAAGAAGTAGATAGTGGGAGCAACAAAAACAAAAGTATGATGAAGAGAAGAAACAAAAACCAATAAGAATACATAAACGAAAAAAATCAAATAGTGCCAAGGCAAAGCGAAAAATAGCGCCTCAAAAAGCAAGCGAATAGTTTAAACATCGAAATTCGAAGAGTAAGCACATGGAAATTTTATGTCGTGCTGCCATATTAAAAAAAAAAAAAAAAATAAACTTCAGCAAATGTTTCCAATTAGAATGGACATGGGTCAATGAAACTTGCGTACAGCACACACCCTAATTGGATGTTTTGTTCTTTATAGCTCGTATAATATAAAAACTGCATGCAAATATCACGTATGCATCTGATTAAACCACATTGAAACGCAAACACACGTTCAAGTACAATAATAAAAATAAACAGTTATTTTTTCATTTTCTTTGTGTTCAAACATATTTCGCTCCCCCGCACCGCTGGTAGCATGAAGATGTAAATTGTTGCTGCTTCTACTACTTCTGCGATAATCGCCGTAACAAAAATGGCGTCGCGCGAAAAATATGCGAAATACACCGAGCATAACCGAAATTGTACGAATACAAAGTTTTTTTTTCCAAAATTGAAGAAAATGGTGGTGAATGAAAAATTACACTTGAACAAAATAGCTTTTGCTTCTATTCATATGCTTTTTGAACAAACTCAAATGTACAAATTGCTAATAGGTTGCAGCAATTGTTACTAACATTTAGCATCTCATTAATTCCATTTAGCCGGACGCGTATTTTAGCGGCCGGTTTGAACAAAAATCTGTGGTATTATTCTGCAGACCAAAACTTCAAAGGCTTTATTTTTAGAAAATTGCTAGCCATACATATCTTCGTCCTTTCTACAACACAATTTGGTGGAATTTTCAATACATAATATACTTGCCTTGCGTTTCTCCAAATTGCGTATCTTATGATCAATTGTGGTAATCGTTTGCTTCATTGGAATATTTGCTTCCAATACAGGATTCATGGTAGCCCCCTTTGTATTGTTGCTGTTCGAGGTAACGGAGCCCTCATTGGTAGTACTGTTGGCATTATTATTTACGCTAGAACTGGTGGTATTATTGTCGCTAACAACATTGGCGTTGCTATTAATTACATCTTGAGATTTCTTTGTGGCACCAACATTACTATTATTACCACCAACACCAACACCAACACCTCCACTACCAGTACCTTGAACCGAGCCTATGGAGGCTTGTTTCTCCAATTTGTTTGAAGCAGAAGGCATACTTCACTGATAAAAACCGAATCGGGAATGAAGTGCAACGCGTTTTTAGCGTGTCTATGAGAACGTGAATTATATATACTCTGCGTGTGTCAAAAAAATTGCACCGAAGACAAAAAAGAGATAGTGCCGCAGCCAGCAAGAACTAAACCACACAGCGACGAAAACGATGACTGCGGCGAAGAAAAAACAGCGAATTCGCTCAAGCACCGTTTACTAGGCGATTTGCACAGATTTTCCGAATTTCAAGAACAAAGAGAAACTGTGCAACAATTCCAAAACCTCTCGCAAGTAGCTAAGGTATGACAAAGACAACATGCGTATATAATATAAAAAAATGCTTTCAGTCGCACATAACTCAACTAAATTCGCCGTGTAAGTGTTCGAAAAATGCATACAGCGCTGCCATATCAATTGCACCAGACGAAATTTAATTTAACTGAGTTATTTAAAAAGTATTTGAAATATTAATTGACTCACATGTTTATATGATGTATGTAAATAATATTATAAGAAAAATATTGAATAGAGAATATATAAAAATTTTAGGTTAAAATATGAAGCGTTTTGCTTTTTATTTCAGTAGGGGCCTACATTTAAACGCACAAATGGCAGATAAACCTGATATATTAGTAGTAAATTAAAATTTTGTGTGGAAAAAAATATTTGCAAGGTTCTTCATTTATTAATTAATATATTTTTTCCAATAGCCAGCAGGTTCGTTGACTCACATCACTAAAGTTTAGAACTGACTGCCGAATTCATATGCAAGATAGAGGGTCAAAATGTCCTCAAGGCATAGATAGATTTAAAAAAAAAACAGTTGAGAAATTTGCGTTAAGACCCCTCAGTCTCAGGTGAGAATGGTATTTTTCTCAAAGAATGCACATTTCTAATAACTAAGTTAACTAAAAGAGAGTCACACCATAATGTTTCTTCAAACTTTCATACTTTATTAATATCTTTTCTATATTGTTTTTCATATTATAATATTTTATAATGATTTTCAAAAAATGCGCCATGTTGAGTGCAATGGGTATTGTACATTAAAAAAATTCTTAATACAGTTGAGTATTTGTTAAATAAAATCTTAATGAATTTTCTTTTTATTATTGCAGTTTAACGATGAAATATAAAAAAAAACGTATTGGATATTATGAACTATAAATATAATACAAGAATTGTAACTAAAAATAGGGCAGGAATGAGTTGATTTAAACAACAAAACAAATTTAAATAAATATTTTTTATATCTAAATAACTGTTAATTTTAATATTTAAAATAAAATAAGCAAAATCACTTTAACAAAATATTGAAATATAATGTAGTGAAATTATTATTTATTAAATTATTAAAACTACACTTTTTATTTGTTTTAAATATTAAACTAAAATATATGTATGTATATATATTTAAGGTGAGTTTGTATTTAAAAGAAAAATTCATCAAAGATTCTCACAAATAATGCTGTTTTGTTTGGAACATTGTTTGATTGATATTGTTCTCCGTTTTCGTTACATAAAAAAATGAATTAATTGTGTCCACCAGTGGCTTAAGTCTGTTACAGAAGAAGGAACATTATACAGGCGTAAATGTTTAGAAGATGGATAGATTATTTAAGAATTGGAAGCAGCTCGGCAAATAAAATATGGAAATAATAAAGATAGTATAAAGTAAAGTAAATGTTCTTATTGGAAGATTTCGTTTGACGTTGTATGGAAGTTTATATTTCTTTACTAACAACAATTTTGGTCTGTTTCTTTGTACAGAAATTATTTTTTTTTTTTGGAAGATTTAAGCATTAACTTTTACTAAAATCAACATAATTTTGAAAATATTAACCCTAGCTTGAACTAAAAATTGCATGAAACATTCTCTATTCCCTAATTGCAATTATCGCTGTTGCCAATTTGTGTGAAACAAACTCATGTTTACTTTTCTACATCACTAACTCTTCCATATGCCCAACACAACACTAACGACAGCCCACAACAGCTGTTTTACAATTTCACAAACAGATGGCGCCTAAACATAACGGAAGCGGAAAATCGGCAAAATTTTGTTACATTTCGTTATTAATTGTCAAATTATGCTTACTAATAATTTGGAGTGCTATATTTTTTTAATTTTCGGCAATATCTAATTTTCGTTGAAAAGTTTCACTAATTTTCATTAATTATCTTAATGTTTTCGTTTTTTTTTTTTCTTGTTTTAACCAAATTGTTCAATTTCGTTGATATGCAAATTTTCGTTTAAGGCGGAAGGAGCTGCGTCCAAGGCACAGCAAAAAGGCACTTCGTTCAACACCAACGCTAGGAAGGGCGAAAAATGTCAATGTGACAGCAACAACGATTGGCGGCGACTAAGCACCGCCATTTTACAAAAAAAAAAAAACAAAAAAAAAAAATCATTCATTGATAATCAATTGAGTCGCTGTCTAAAATTGTCGAAGACTTATTCGACGATCGCCGTCGCGTCCAATAGTCGGTGTAGCCGCGTGCTTCATCATACTGTTGGACAGTCGTACGCCACGGTGGCCATTGCAGCTATTCCTCTACAAGATCCCACACCATCAGTGAGGCGTCTGTGCCGCCCACTGTGACAACAGTCTGATCGCCATAAAGGAAACGTGCACACGCCAACATGCCGGAATAAACTTTCGCTTCGTGAAATTCGGCGCGCGGACTAATGCAAGGATATCTGTACGGAATAAAATAAATTATTTTAATAAAATAGAAAGTAGTGAAGTTAAAGAGTTTGCATATGCCTGCCACACACCTGAAAACACGCAAATAGCCATCAGCATCGCCCGACACAAGCATATCCTGTGCCGTTGAACGACTACATGTTGCTATAATTGTATTGTTGTTACTGTAATAACGATTACTCCACATGCCCGCCACCAAGAAGCCAACCGTGCAATTACTAGTCAACCATTTGACATCCTTCATAGCTATGGGACTACGTTCGGGCGATAGTGACTTAGCATCCCAGAAGAGAAGATCGAAATCTATCGTAACGGTTTGCACGAAATTACCATCCATACTCCAGTCCAAGTGTGTAAGTGGTTGTGAGCCGCGTATTTTATTCACCTTCTTATAGGAGAAACCATCACGCGATACACGAAACAAGTAAATACTGCCATTTTGTGAGCCCATCGCAATCATATCGCCAACTACATACATACATACATACATATGTAAGTAAATAATAATAAATCAAATGAATTTAAATAAAATTTTTGCGAATTGCTTTACCGCTAGGCAAATTACCTTGATTAAAAGCCACACAATTTAGTGGCGAGCCGCAGACACGTAATGTCAACATAACCGAACCGTTTTCACAATTGATGACAAGCAAATGACCCTCAGTGCTGCCAGCAGCCAATGCAGTGCCAAATGGATGAAAAGCTAGTGAAACGCACTCATAACCAGTTTGTATGGTCCAAATTAATTTGTTTTTACGCCAAAGCGCTATATGTTTATCATGACCGGCAGTGGCGAACACCTCATCTTCGGGATGAGCAGCTAAACCCCACAGCTGACGACCATGACCGAAAACGACTTGTGTGAAGCGACGCTGTAGTGAACCCTCCAGAATGTTATTGCGTGTGGTGCCAACATAAATATTGCCATCGTTGCGTCCGGGACGTTGTGGATAAATGGTGCGTACGCCGCCAGCGGCCTCAGGAAGCTAAACATAAGTGAAGTGCAAAAAAAAAGAGATCAGCGAAACTTTAAAACAAAAAATATGTTTGTATGTATGTATTAAATGCTCACTTTTGTATCAGCGATTTTTTTATAATTTTGTAATGAATCCCAGGCAGCAATTTTACGATCCTTCTCACCACCCGACAACAATGTGCCCTCACCCAGCATTATGAGACAACCAATGCCCTTGGTGTGTGCTTCAAATTCGGTGCGCACAAAGTATGCGCCATCCGAGTCAACCGAATAAATAGTGATGAAACCATCAGAGTCGGCAGTGATAACATCGCCATCCGGTTCGAACTGCACGCTGGTGACATGCGAACGTGATGGTTGCTTAACAATATCGGTGCGTTCGAAAAAGCCATCTTTACGGCGATGCCAGAAAGCCAGATGGCCACGCCCATGTGTTATAATAAGATTATCGTCGAGTGGATGAAAAGCGGCGCCAGAGAGACCCTCCTGCAGCGTCTAATAAAAGTTAATAATTAGTTGCGATTGAAAAAGTTCAAAAAGTGCACACTTACTGCCACTTTGCCGAGCAGATGACCCCACTGCCATTGCCAAACAGAGAGTATGCTCTCACGCCCGCTATCTACAGCTAAAATATAACTTCCGCCATTCTATGGAAATGTGAATGAGAGTCAAATGTTTGTTAGTATTATACCAAATGGACTTTTAAAAATAAGCGCTGTTAATGTTTAATACAAATTTTTACCAGCTGTGAAAAGGCCACTGCGGTCACGCCACTATCCAACTCGCCCATGCCAAAGACATAAAGTGTCTGCAGTGACTCGGTGCTCCAAATGCGTACGTGTGCTTGTGATTTACGATCACGTCCCGCCTTTTGACCCGAAGCGACAAGTTCGCGCGATGGATGCACATCCATGCTGTGGTGGCGAAGGGAAGTGAAAGGGTGTTGCAATATGTATGTATCAAAAAAACCTTGCATTAAAAATATTATTTAAAGTACTTCCACTAACCACATAATATCCTCTGTGTGTCCCGTATAGTGTCGCTGTGCGTCTTCTTCACGATCCAATAATACTGCTACAGCAGCTACATAATACAAAAGCTCACCCGATGGCAAAACCCAGAGATTACGACGTGCATCAATACCACGATAGCCGTGACTGCGCATTCCAAAACAAAAAAAAAAAAGAAATAGAAAATAAAACCAAAAAAGAAAGTGAAAATAAATTATTTATGCACAAAGATGATGAGAGTTTTATGCTGCACACTGCCTTCCTTCGATTTTTTGCGCTACTTACACCCACTGTAGTTGTAATTTTTTATCAGGCGGCGTATTATCCGCAGGTGCATGATGTAATGGTGGATAGAATGTACGCCGCAAACCACGTATAGTCACTTTGGTGGGCTCCTCTTTCATAATATCCAACATGCTGTATTCACCGTTCGCACGTAAAATCTCACTCTCAGGCGCATAGAGAATGCGTGGACGGCTTTTACTGCGCGGACGTGCACCGCGTAAAGGCACCTTAGGCAGTTCTTCTGTAGGTAATATTGGTGCGGCTGCAACAACAGAGGGACGCGAACGTGAACGCCTTATTGGCGAACCGGCAATTAAGGCAGTGCCAGTTGCTAGATAAAATGTGTCGACGTCTGCAAACTCATTGCGTAGCTGTGAAAAGCTGCGCACCTGCAAAGTAGATGACAAATGAATGAAAATGTTGACTGTTGGTTGTTGTAAGGAGCAGGCAAAAATTAGGTCGGTAAGTAGTTGTATTACATTTATAGAACAAAAAAGAAAAAAAAAAGAAAAAAAAATCGACGCAACTGTTGGCATAACAAATCAGGTTGGTAAGTAGTTGTATTAAATTCGTTGAATAAAAACAAAAAAGGAAAAAAATAAAATTCGTAGAATAAAAGCAAAAAAAAAAAAAAATCGGCGCAACAACAACGGTTATACGATTAATATGTCATGGTCAATGACCGTATATTAACGTATTATATAAATATATTATATATGTATATATTTACCTCCTGCCCTGTGCCCGTATACATTTTCTTTGCACCATTAATTTTCAACACTTGACCCAAATCCTCTAAGACCTCCTCGAATGGCTGTGATGTGCGTAAATTTAACAGTACACGACACTAGAAAAGAGAGTAAAGCACAAAAATAGCGTTAAAAGTAATGACATATTTCTTGGTACTTCACACAATTTGGCCACAGTTGTCCCTAGCGTATGTTTATTTAAGATTTGCTGCCTTGCAACGTTGACCGAAATCACGTGTTCAAAAAAAAAAAAAACGCTTAACGTTAATTATACCACATGGCATTATAATGATGGCTCCGTAACGAAATTGGAGTCAGGGTTGTGTGATATTAAGGATCGCGTGCAAAAAGTAATGGGAAATTTGAATTAAATAAAATTTTTGTTTAGATTCTGTTTGGCAAAAATGTTTATACTACTAAGTAAGCGGACAGGGTTCGAGTACTGGTTTAAGCAAACCTTAAAAATTATAAAAAACTAATTTTTGTAATTGCGATCGTCTCACAGCAGGGAATATTCAATTCTCCGAGTATAAATAATTCTAAGATGAAAATCAAAGTTCCTCGACCTTTTGGTGGACACCTTTGGGTAGACACTTAGCACAAGCAGTAGATCCATCCATTTGTTTGAAAACATCATCACATCGCACATCACAAATGTTGTTGTTGTTGTTGTAACCGCAAAATTATTCCCCAAAGTACTTTTTGGGGAATATTGCGGGAGTGACAGTCCTTGGCCGGATAAAAATCCGGGTCGTTCCGGTATAAAGACCCGACTGTCGCGGGAACTATTGGATTTTAGTCGCCTCTTACGACAGGCATGCCTTACCGCGGGTAAATTCTTGAGCCCCTAACCCGCAGGGGCGCACATCACAAATCTTCCCCTCCGCTTAAGCGGTTACATCGCGCCAGCAGTAAAAACAACAGCGTTTTTTGATATATCCGAAACTATTCAAGTTCGTTTAAGTTTTGTGCGCGCAGAGCTAGTTCTAATGAAAACTAGAATTTATGAGCGATAAGAGCTGTTTAAAGCGGGTCGAGAAAGTGTTGAAGACGGGACACAGCCAGAACGATCTACAACATCAACTGAGTACCAATAGTACCACTTTGGGAGGCATTTTCAAAATAGTGAGATCGCAATTGATATCAAAAACGCTCAATTTCATGAAGAAACAGCGCGAGCATAAAATTCCACACCTATCATTCCGTGACCAGCGTATACGAATGATTTGACTTCGTGATTCTGCCGCTCTGAGGACACCGTTTCGAGTCGATTGTAGAGCTTCAACGTGAAACGGCATAAGTTCCAAAGGTAATATCCCGAAATGGACTTTTTGGTCTACATCGAAAAATGCAGAAAACGTTGTTGTAAGTGCATTATATCGAGAGAGTACTGCTATGAATGGGATGAAATTGATTTGGAAGAATAAATGATGATTTCTTTGATTTAAAGATAAATTCCCGGTATTTTTAACCACAATAGTATGTGTGAGCTAAGCGCTATAGTACAGTTTCTAGGGTAATTTTAGGGCTTTACTCACTTCGTGCGCCTAATATTGATTTGTTTTTTTGTTTTTCTTTAATTTTTATTTCAATTAATTTCCCTTTGCTTTTGGTCACATTTTTTTTTTGATTCTCCTTCAAAGCAAAGCCCCGTGACCGACTGTGCCACATTTTAAATTAACGTCGAAAGCAAAGCAAAACGCATTTTTTTAATTTTCCTCTTTTCCCCTTTCGTGAATGCTATTTTGCAATAGGCAATTAAATTTTATTTAATACATACATGTATTAGATGCGGTTATGCTTTCACTTCCATAAACAATTACCGTCATTCATAATTGTTTAATGTATGCATGCGCATATGTATGCATGTATGTATGTATGTATGTATGTGTGTATGTATGTATGTATGTGTATAGCCATTATGACCTAAACTAAAGCACCACTCCATTTTCATTGCTCAACTTTGTATGAATTTCGCCATTATTGGCGGCGCCATTAACGGTAATTATAAATTTTTGGTTAATACCGATACTGCTGTGGTTATGAGTAGATTGTATTTGGAGTGTGGTTGTTTATGTGTGTGTGTGTGTGGTTGTCGCGTAAATAAAATTACAATTTATGGTTGATAATTATGAAGTCTACGACCCAGATGGCTTTTATTGTTTGTGGTTGCACGCGTCAGTCGCCGTAGGCATGCGAGCACATGAGATTTTGAGGTGCCCGTTAAAATGTGGTCGTATGTGTGTTTGAGTATGTGTGTCAATTTAAAGTGGCGCGACTTCATTAAATGTGTTCTTTAGAGTTCTGCAAAGTCAATTAGAATGCTGTATTTGCGCTGGCAATGCTTTAGGGCTACACAACTTCTTCTTGATTGGCATAAGCATTGCTTACCCGATTAAAGCCAAATCGACAATAATCGCTCTGTCGTTCTGCACCTGATCTTTTATTCAAACTGAACGCTTGTATCTGTATCTGTATCTGTATCTGTATCTGTATCTGTATCTTTATCTTTATCTTTATCTTTATCTTTATCTTTATCTTTATCTTTATCTTTATCTTTATCTTTATCTTCACTTTGGAAAACTAATAAAAGTTAAATTTATCTTAATTTTCTAATACTTTCTTTGAAATCAAAAAGAAAAAAGTTCAAGCAAAAGTTTTGATATTAAATTTTCTTTATCTATTTCATATATACTTTGTTGCCTCTTTTCTACAACTATTCCATATCCATGCGCATAGTTTTTTTTTCTGTAATTTTCCTCACATTGAAATTCTTTGAAAATCTTCGCAATTTTCGCCTGTTAAAAGCAAATCATTTCACCACGAGCATTGCGCATGCAAATATTTGCACATACTTTTAGGCGATTTTCCAAATTGAAGCCTTTCTTGGTACTCACGTAATATTTATTTTCCTTAACCATGCTAATAATGTGCCAAAAAAAAGAGAAAAAGAAAATTCGCAAAAAAAATTTGCTAAGAAAAGACTGTGCGACTCTTGACGTCAACCAAAAGAGAGATCGTGATAAGCGTTTTTCGACATTTACATGAGTGAGGTTTGGCATATATGTACATACGTGCATATATGTACGAATTTTTAAGACATATGTATGTATGACTGACGTGACAATCGAGTGTCGTATATTTTGTGGAATTTTCGGTTATAGCATATCCGTTGCTGTGATGAATACAAAAAAACTCTAAAAATGCATTGTTGATTCAAATTGGGCACAATTAATGGACTATGAATAAAAAAATCACAATCAATTGATATAAGAAAATTTTGTTTGAAACGGAATACAAAATCGTATAGTTTCCTAACAGAAACCTGTTCAAAAACGCATTTTTGGTGCACAACTATGACCGAAAAGAAGCCATAATTATGATATTTGGTAAATAGCATTTATAACATGAGAAAAATATTGTGTATGAAAATCTTTGAGATCGAACCGCAACAGCACCCAACTTTCACACAAAAAGTTGTTCAAAAACGCGTTTTTGGGTCAAAACTTTGACAAAAAAGTCGCTACAATTATGAAGTTCAGTAAGCCGTATAAATATCATGAGAGTATAAATGACAAAGCAGCTCATTAAAATCAGCTCAAAATATCATGTAGCTTCCATAAAAAAAACTGCTGAAAAACAGAGTTTTTAGACCAAAACTGTTACAATTTAGTGAATAAAAATATGAAACTTTAACATTCCATATGTGTAGCAGTAGTTGAATATTGAGTGTGAAAATCTTTGAAATCGGTCCACAATATCACCTAGCTTTCATACAAAAAACGGTTCAAAAATGAGTTTTTAGGTCAACACCTAAACATTTTAGTGACTAAAAGTATGAAACTTTGATATTCCATATGTGTAGAAGCAGCAGAATTTTGAGAGTGAAATATCTTTAAAATTGGCTCACAATATCACCTCGCTTTCATACAAAAAACTGTTCAAAAATTAGTTTTTAAGCCAAAGCTCATACAATTTTGGAGTTAAAGTTCCGGTATTTGGTATTTTACTTAAAAACATGAGTAGAATGTATGCAGAGAACCCGATTGTATAGAAAAGCTTTCAAAAGCTATTTTTTTTTTGAAATTAGAAATTGTGTCGAAATTTCGAAAACAAAATATTAATACTAAAAATTAGCGCAAGCAAATAACAAAATTTTATATGTACAAATAAATATAATCACGCTTATAATTCAATATAATTTAATAAAGTAGGTATACTTAGATTAAATGCATTCTTTAACTGTTTCTTCTACTTAAATGTTTTTCTTCTTCTTTTTTTCTTACTGCCCACTTTCCTCAACACACGTGCAGCTGATTGCTATGGCAAACATTTACACACCGCTTGCCATTTAAATTGCGACACCGTTGCTATCATTTGCTTACTGTATACATATAAGCCTCTCCTCTCTCTCTATGTGTGTGTGTGTGTCTGTGTAGAATTTTAATATGCCAATAGGGCGCAATAATTACTGTGGATTGCATAAATTATTGTTGCATACTTAGTGGCGTATAAACGACTGACAACTGGTAAACTGCAACTTAAATATGCAGCTGTATTTACATACAGACATACGTACACATAATTATAGGCATAAATATTCCTTATAGTATACATTTATAAGCCGCTATAATGACATATTTATTGCCAACGAGTCAAGCTGGCTGAATGTCAAAGACATGCAAACGTAAAATGACACAGTTACATATGTACATACGAGTATATTTGTATCATATGAATATATTTATGCATGTATGGATGTATATGCATGTGATTTATATGCGTGGCTGTATATGGAATTCGAAATACTTAAGCCATAATCCTGCACTGCAACGCAAACAGCCAACAGCTGCTGAACTCACTGTATATGTGTGTATGTATGCATGTCGGTATATAGTTGTATGTATGTGTATCTTTCCACTTAAGCGTAAAATGGTCTTAACTGTATTTTAAATGGCTTTAAAAGCATAATGTATGTACTTTGTCTACCTGCGCTGAGCTCGCTGTGACTTTGTGCCTCTCCCTCGCTCATTTCATTTCTGTCCCTCACTCTCACTCACACTATCTCTCTCTCTCTCTTTCTCTTATTCTCTTAACC